GGCAGAGAGAGAAAGAGACAGAGGATCCAAAGCAGTTCCAGGCTCGGAGCTGTCGGCACAGAGCCCGACGCGGGGCTCGAACCCACAGACCATGAGATCGTGGCCTGAGCCGAGGTCGGACGCTTAACTGACTGAGCCCCCCCAGGCGCCCCTAAAACATTTCTCTAAAAAGGAAAGAGAGCCCCATCTTTCAGTTACTTATCACGGAAGCAAACCGCTCATTGAGGAAGACGCAGAGAAGACACTGGTGGCCTTGCTCCCACACTCCTGGGTGTGGAGACTGCTTTCCCTCTGGCATGTCTGTGTGTTTTGTGTTACCGGTTTAGTTTCCGTAAGGAGCTCGTCTGCAGCCCCAGTGTGTCGACCTCACCTGCCCGCCCTCAAGGTGGCCATTTTCAGTGGCAGGACCGTGGTCAGGCCCCCAAAGCACCTGCTGGTGGCCCCACTTTTCAGGTAAAGAAGCTCACCGTGGTTGCAGGGAGGACAGTGCCCCCTCTGGTGGCAGGTCAGGGTCGCGCCAACGCATACGTGCCTTTGAGTGTGTGCACCTGTGTCCGTGCGTGGTTGCCCCTGGCCGGCCACGGAGCTGCGAAGGGTCTGGGTGAGTGTGTGTGCCAGGGACTGGTTTGGGTGTGTGTGTTCTGACTGGGCACGGAGCATGTCTGAATGGGCCCCTTGTGTGGGGTTCTTGCCACGTGGGGGCCGCGGGGGCCAGGGTGCTGGGCCCCTCCTGAGCCCCCTTTGCCCTTTTCGCACCGGCCCCTCCCCCCGCTTAGGTGCCTTCTGGTGGCCCGCCCGGCCCCACCCTCCACGGTCCTGCCTCTCCCCACCATCAGAGTGAGGGACAAAGCCATGGGGGCTCAGGGAGGGAGCAGGCCTGGGCGGCCCTGGGAGGTTAGTACAGAGATTGGTGTAGTGGGTTAAATTTTGTCGATGGTGTCGTACTCGGGTACGGTGGGTTAGGACAGTGGGTCAGCGCAGCAGATTAGAGTCAGTTAACACAGCAGATCAGAGCTGAAGATCATTGTAACCGATTATTGTGGTAGAACGGTAGGTCAGTAACGATTATGTGGGCGGTTGGGATAGCAGGTCAGTGCGGTGTTATTGTTGTGGACTGATACCAGGTCGGTGCGCCAGTCCAGTCCGGGGCACGGTCCATGTGCGGTGGATTAACAGCACAGATCGGCACCGTAGATGAGTCGACCGGACCAGGGTTCTGGAGCTCGGATCAGCCAGGGCTGGGCTCTGCGCCTCTCGCCGGGGGCTGGCCGCTGTGCTGGGTCCGGGGCTCCGCGGCTGCCCCGAGGCGTGAGTGGCCTGAGAGGTGTGGCCCTCGGGGGTGACCGGCTTCCTCGGTTCTGACGCGTCCACCCTCCGGGCAGGTGTCAGCACAGTCCGGACCGGCCCCCGTTGGTGCCCTTTGGCTCTGTCCCCAACGCAGGCTCTGAGAGTCATGGGCTGCTTTCTGTGGCTCAGAGGCGGGGTGGGGACAGCTCGTGGGACCTGACGTTTGTATTCAGATGATCGTGGTCTTTTCTCACGTCTTTCCTCGTGTTGTGGAGCGATTTTCTCTAGTGTTGGGTGTCTCATCGCGTGGGTTTGTGTGTCCACCACGTGGTGGTCCTGCTGAGAACACAGGGGATAGCCCTGTGCTCACGGGGGGTTTGCTGCTGACACTGACCCCGCAGAGCGGGAGGGGCGTCCTGGTTACCGCGCGCCTGCGCTGGACACAGGCTGTGGTCTTAGGAAGCTTCTCCTGCATGCAGAAATCACACATCCCAGATCCCGCGTCCAGAAGGTCTCCTTTTTCTTATCAGTCAGTTGTGTTTTGAGAGCCTTGCTGGTTGGGACACTGACGAGACGTTCGCCGCATCCCGGGTCACCTGAGCGCCGGCCGGGACAGTCCCCGCAGGCGCGGTGGGGGGGTCAGGGGAGTGTCTGCAGGTGCAGCTCTGGGACTGACCGTGTCTGAGGGCTCCTCTCCCCACAGGAAACGAGAGCAACACAACCAAACTGACCGCGGATTTAAAGATTATTATTATTTTTTAAATCACATTTTGTTTTATTTGAGGACGAGGACATGGCCTGTTTGGGGGCCGAGAATAGGTGTCTACCACCGTTTAATTCAGCACGCTTTGGGGGGGCCACTGGTCATTAGCAAGGCCCTGGACCTGACCGTGGGTGTCACAGGCGGGGTCCGCAGGTGGGCTGCGGCTTTGGAGGGCACAGCCTCTCACAGGGGCCGTGACGGATGTGTTCCCCAGTGACTGGACCCTCCGAGGCCAGACGCTGCGTGAGGACATCACAGAATTCCTTCTGTTCCGGGCAGTTCGAGACGCGCTCACTGGACGGGGACCTGGTTCTTCAACTGGAACCTTAGTGAGGACTGGGTTTTGACGTGTCAGGTGTGGGAAGGACTCCCGCCAGCTGTGGGACCCGGGAGCAGGTCTGTCCGCGGATGTCGGCGCTGCAGCGTGTTTGGGGAGCAGGGCAGTCCCCCAAGAACGTGCAGGCTGGAGGCCGGGGAGCGTGCGTGGGAAGCCTCCGATCGGTGGGCAGAGAGAGGCTAGGTCTAGATTGGCAGGGAGCCAAGTTGGGGGGGGTGGTTGCCATTGACTGTGGGGTCCCAGCGAAGGTTTTCGGTGGGAGAGGCCGTGAGGACGCAGTGCTGCTAGAACCTGCAGGGAAGGAGCTGACCGAGGAGAGGCCTGGATGGTGGGAGGGGAAGGTTTGTTCGGGAGAAAGTCGTCTGATGTCAGCCTCCACATTTAAAATAAATGGACACTGGACACATGAAGAAACACAGCGCTTGCCTTTAGCGCTGATAGCGTGTATCTAGCTGGTAACCTGGATTTTTTTCACAAAGGAGAAATATAGTACTTTTAACGAAATACTTGTTTTTCATTTCATAGTTTTATTTTCATTTCATCCATATATAAAGGCACCTTCAGAAATAACCACAATAATGCATCTAAAAATTAGCAATGATTTCTTAACATCATCTGATATCCTGCCAACGTTTCCCCTTCCCCAGTCTGTATGTGTGTGTGTGCACACATGGGCTTCATTGTCCCTGGTGTGTGTGTGTGTGCACGCGTGCACAGGCTCCATTGTCCCTGGTGTGTATGTGTCTGTGTGTGTCTCTGTGTGTTCGGGCTCCATTGTCCCTGGTGTATGTGTGTGTGTGTGTGTGTGTGCATAGGCTCCATTGTCCCTGGTGTCTGTGTGTGCACAGGCTCCATTGTCCCTGGTGTGAGTGTGTGTGTGTGTCTGTGTGTGCACAAGCTCCATTGTCCCTGGTGTGTGTGTGTGTCTGTCTGTCTGTTTGGGCTCCATTGTCCCTGGTGTGTGTGTGTGT